GTGTATGTATCACAACTGACAACTTTTCGTATTTATTTATATATGTGTGTGCTCTCTGTGTCCCTCACCAGAAATAGGAGCCCTGGGAGCCAGGGACTTCATCTGTCATGCTTACTGCAATATCTCCAGCATTTAGCACAGTCCCTGGTGCAGACTTGATGCTCAGTCACCATGATGTGAAGGATCGCCTCTTCCCATCTCCTCATCTCTCCGCCCACCACCCACCCAACCTCCCCCAAGACCCTGGCCTTTCCCATGAGGCCCAGCATCCATATGGTGGTGATCAATGTCCTTATTATGTCAGAGTTAATGGGTGACAGAGAAGGGGAGAAAGAATCACAGCCCGGGCCAACGCTCCACCTCTCCCCCTGCCCGAGCTGCCCTGGGCCACACCTGCCCTAGGCCTGGGGACTACCCGCCAAGCCGGCAGCCTTATGCTCAGAAGCACCAGCTCTGGAGTCACACAGGCAGGGCCCATATGTTACAGCCAAGGGCCTTTCACCTCTCCCAAGACAGTAAGATCAATTGCAGGTGGGGGGCAGAGGTGAACACCACAGAGGCTTTTTAGGGAGCTGAAAGTACTCTATACAATATGATAACGGAGGATGCGTGTTATCATAGGTTTGTCCAAACCCAGAGAATGGACAACACCAAGAGCGAACCCTAATGCCAACTGTGGACTTTGGGTGATCATCATGGGTCAGTGAACGTTCATCATTTGTCACAAAGGTCCCACCCTGATCAGGGAGGTGGATAATAGGGGAGACTATGCCTCTGGGAGGTGGGGGTGGTATGGGGGAGCTCTCTGGATCTTCTCCTCAAATCTGATGTGAACATAAAACTGCTCAGAAAACTAAAGTCTGGTACAACAAAACCAAACAATGAAACAGCACCACGCCTGGCCCCCAGGGCTGCCTTCTGATTCTCATCTGGCAAAACGTGCCTATGCCTCCTTATGCCTTCAGTCTACCAAGCAGCCAGACCCAACCTTGACGCTGTGAACTCACTACGCCATGGTGAGAACGCCAAGCTACGCATAATGCCTGCCCAGCACGAGCTGTACTTACAGCCACACTGACAAACCTCTGGTCCACTCAGCCCCTCACTCCACACAGAGTGAGGGGCTGAGCCCCACAGCCTAGTTACTTGACCGGGTACACCTGGGCCATGGCAGAACGTCCAGCTCCGAACAGTCCCCAAGGCCAACACTGGCCCTTGGATTTGCATCAAGGTATCCTGGCCTGGATGCCCTTTCCAGCAACTGCGGCGATCAATGCCAGCCCAACCCACCCCCACGGTGCTTCCAGGCTGCAAAATCGCTGGCTCACGCCACCCTGCCACCTTGTGAGTGGCCCGGTGGAGCCTACAGGCCTCTCTTTACAGACGGGGCCACTAAGACCCAACACAGGCAGGACTCGCCCAAAGCCGCACAGAGAGTTAGGTACAAGAAACCAGGAAATCCAAAGGCCTGGCTCCTACTTCCACATTCTTTCAACCCCGACGTCCCGAATAGGTTAAAAACAACAACAACAACAACAGTAAGGATGAACTTATCATCATCTCACTACTCCTTACAAATCTCTACTAGTACCAACACAACTGAAAACACCTCACGCTTGTCTGGGCCTTCATGAAATGCCATCTTTATCATTATTTTCCACTCTAATTTATTATCCGGGCTCCCCCATGAGCCTAACAGGTTGGTATTGACTTCACATTGTACAGAGTTTGAGCTGAGGCCCAGCAAGGCGCGTGGCCCACTCACGGTCACGTGGAGCAGGGGCCAGGTCTCTTGACTCCCAGCCCGGGGCACCATGCTCTCTGTCCCCCAGCCCCCAGACCTAAATGAAATTCCCACCTCACATTTCTTACCAATTACCTGTCATCAGAGGGGCGGCTCTGTCCCCTCCAGAATTCCTTCTTGCTGATTTCAGCCCACTGTCCTTGAGGTAACAGAGTCCAAGCCTTTTGACCATGGGGGCTCTGAGAGTTCCCAGGAATGTAGCAAATATACCTGCCATCACGCCAACCTTCGATCGTGCTCAGATCACAGGCAATGATGCCTCCTAAGGGGTGAGGGGGGACACTGACCACAAAATCAAGTCCTGAGAAGGAGCCAGATGGCACAAGCAAGGGGCTAACAGACAAAAGGTACAGACCCAGCCCAACATTCTGGACAGGCCGGGACTCACCTGAGCATTATCTGTCCATCTGTCATCTGCCTACAGCAGCCAACATCTCAACCTGCTCATTTGCACAGACGGCAGCGGGCCCAGAGCCTTCACTAAGCCCAAGCTTCACCCCAGGCCTTTAAGCCCAAGCACCACAGGCTTATAATCCCCATTTCCAGGCTTTTCTGTGGTCACAGGTCAAAGGCAAACACTTGGGAAACCTTCTCCTGTCTTTGGGAAACAAGACAAGCCCAAGCCATGAGTGAAATGTGTAGACGATGTTCCAGGAATCTGACCCTGGGCCGGCTGAGCCTGGCCCAACAGCACTGGGCAGAGGCACTGGGGAAACTCAAGAGACAAGGGGCTCGTTCTCAGGGGAGGACTTGAGCTGACCCTGGAGCAAGGGGACAAGGCAGGGAGATAAGAGTCTACAGATGTTCGGAAGGTGCAAACACCCAGGAAAGGCAGAATGACCTTGCCAAGCAGCCAAGTATTTTAAGACTTCAGGTAAAACTGCGACCATAATTCACTTACTGTCTATACATGAAAGTCTTGCCAAGGATGGAGGAGTTGTCTACACACTGGATCTACCCCGGCAGCAAAGAGTAGACATGGGGGTGTCTGCCTGCCCACAAGGAGACTCACATGGGCAGTCTCCCTATCGGCCTAGGTGCTGGGCTCCTAGGAAGTGGGAGAAGAACTATCCGGAACACCTCCCAACAGGAGAGGGTTCTCACCACAACAGAACCTACCAGCAGAGAAGCCAACACAACAAGGCTCCCAGAATCCTGAGCTGCTCATACAGATGGAAGAAGTGAGGCCCAGAGAGGGTCAGGCATCTGCCCCAGTCACACAGCACACGACCAGTGTAGGACCCTTCTCCATCAGCAAGGCCTTTGCACTTCTCAGTTTTTCCTGGGGCCCCTCCCAGGTTGCTCAGCTTATTAGGGAACAGCTAACAAGTGGCCCTTGAGTGTCTGTGACCTGAGCCCTATGCTTCACCAAGAGAGATTTCCTGGGAAATGTTCCTCACTCCCCTAAACAAGGTCTCTCCAGGGCTGGCAGCACCGAGCAGGGCGTACGCCCAGAGAAAGGATAGGAAAATGGGTATAAAATTACATAATAACGTCTGATTCACACAAAAAGGAAAGGAAAGTTCTCTCAACCGTGGAGATCCACTGGGAAAAGTCAAGGCAAGATGACCAAAGGTTTGATGGGTCTTTTAAAACTTTGGTCGAAATGTTTGCTCTTATTTTAAAAACTTCTTTGTCGCAGATAAAATTGTTCTCTAATTTGGTCATACATTTGGATTTCATTATTTTCAGAATGTATTCCAGACATCTAAAATTAAACAGATGTCATCAACCCCGTTTAGGCCTAAAAGACTTGTAACCAAACAGTGACTTCAACTCCGATGCAATACCGATTTGGAACACTGTGTTTTAGTCATTAAAAGTTTTAAAACTCTGCTCCATTTTTCTCATTTCCTATAATGAGATCTCTTCCCCCTCCTTGAAATACGCCAATTCTTCAAGGGTCAGTGGAAAGTCAAACCGGAGAGCAAAGCAAATTTAAATATGAAAAATGAAAGAGCGAAGTATGAAATCCTTTATCCACTGAAACCCTCACCGAGAAAGGCACCTCGGCTTCACTGCAGACGGGGGGAGATGGGAAGGGAGAGATACAGAAACAGTGCAAGCGCAGGAAGGGGATTTGGCTTCTAAAGCCTGAATTGTTTTATCGTTCCTTTTCTGACAGGGATTAGATTAGCGAGAATCCTCCAAGCCTGCTCAAGGCGTCCTGGGGACAGTTAAGAAAAGACAATTCTTTCTCTCCTCCGATCCTCATCTCTGAGTTCGCCCCCAAATGAATTTGTTAAATAACCAGGTCAGAGCCAAGCGCCTGTTTGAGATACCCAGATTCGCGAGCAGGGGCACGTGGCCCCTGGGACATGCCTGCGGAGCGGGGGAGGGGAATCTAGATCTGGGGTGTGGAAGTCGCATACTGGGGTCTGACCGTCTTCATTACATCAATTTCTTAAGGAAAGTGGAAAGAATAAAATAGAGAAGGGGACGAGAAGGGACAGACGCCAGAGAGGACCTGTGCCTCTCCCGTGGGACTTCCAACCCTTGGTCTGAACGGGGAGGCAGACCCCCCAGCAACCACTCTACAGAGCTGGGAAGCCCAAACCAAATGCCGCACTGCCTACTTGGCTCCTCACTCCAGATCTCGGCGCAGGCCCCACCTGGCGGACCCTTCCTTCCTGAGCCACCCAACAATGAAGAAAGCGAGGTGAGGAGCGTCCAGAAACACTCAAACTGGACGCACACAGAGAGGCAGCACATTCTCCCCGTCCTCCTCCCTGCCCCCCAAATAACTCTGCGTGGGGCACTTCTGAGCAGAAAGACTTCTCCAAAGATGGGAAACCAGCTTGATTCTAAAGGCTGACGCAACCTAGGACACACAGCCCCAAATCCTTGTTCCAGAGAAAGCTCTCAGGCCCCAGGCCCCAGGAAGGGCCATGGCCATGGCCACGGATCTGTTTTGGCAAGAACTGGCAGCATCCTTGGGGGGGGTCTACTGTGTTCACCCCAGGAGGGGAAGCAGGCAGACAAAAGGACACAAACACAATGACCTTTATCAAAGGACAAAGTCAAGGGCCCCGGGGGCGGCGGGGGAGGGGTACGGGCAGGAAAGAAAGCTGATGCCTTTGGAACACACGAATGGCCCATTCTGGCCTGGGGTAAGACCTGCTCAGTATGTTCCTAACATGAGAATCCACCCAAACAATCTTTCCAAAGCCAGCTGTCAGTTCATAGATGCCCTTACCTCCCAAGTCTTAGGCAAGTCAGCTTCCCCGGACCTTGCTTCTCTTGTCCGTACCTCCCAGATGATTTGTGAGCATTTACTCTCCATGACTGGCAAACAGCTTCAGCCCTGAACCAAACCTGGGTAGCTTAGTCCTGGCAGGCTATCCGATTGCTCTTCTGAGGAGGACTGCATTCTTGGGAGTTCATTAGGGATGTCTGCCATTGCTGGGGAAGGAAAGAGAGAGAGAGAATTTAGTTCTCCTCCGTGCCAACCCAGAATCAACCCATCTTGTTTCACAGATGGGCAAACTAAGGCCCAGGGAAGTAAGGTGAACCTATGCACGAAGGTTACACATTAGAACAGAAGATAGAGGTGCAGCTCGGTGGCTCAATCGGTTGAGCGTCCGACTCCTGGTTTCAGCTCAGGTCATGATCTCGCAGCGCGTGGGTTTGAGCCCTGTGTCAGGCTCTGCGCTGACAGCTATGGAGCCTGCTTGGGATTCTCTGTCTTCCTCTTTCTCTCTGCCCCTCCCCCACTACCTCCCAGTCTCTCTCAAAAAAAAAAAAAAAAAAACAAAAAACCCGAGAAGATCAAGCATTTGAAAATCATACTAGAAGATTAGAATTTGCTAACTGGTGTATTTCAACCCTCAGGCTTTCCTGGATTTGAACACTACCTTTGAGTGAGCTCCACACACCTGTAAGAGATGCATCGGGCAAGAGACTGAGTTCAGAAGATGAAGTCACGATTCAGCTTACACAGAGAGCCAGTGACAAAACCGGATGAAAACCCAGGCCAACATTCCCAGGAGACCACCTGGACCATCAAGGTGGTATTTTCCCCCATCCATGCTGACCCACTAGGGCTGCACAGGGGCTGAGAGAGAGAGGGTCTGTTGGCGGTAGGAGAGGATGCACAAAATTAGCTCTTCAACCCAATGGAAAGTTTGGAAACAGTGACAATTTATTTATGGGAAATACCAAATGCCCTTTGCCTCACTTCTGAGACTGAGAGGCAGAACCAGGTGACTAAGAAGACCTCATCATCACCAGGGCCCCTTGACCTCACTCCCTCAAGGATTTTCTGGCCAGCTGATGCCACTCATTTCTCTAAAAGATGGCCGACAAAGTTCTTTCAGTACATACACTAACCTGAAGTCAGAGGAGGGACAAATTAGCTGGTCATCATTTGCTTTACCAAAGGATTGGTTTTTTTCTTTACCACAGAGTTCCTATAAAAAAACAAGAGCCCTTCCACAAGCAATTGCGTATACTCCCATTTGCAAAGACCGTCCACGGACGGCACACCAGCCACACAAAAGCACAAAGCTACTGTAGGTCAGGGTTTGACAACTGTTCTACATAAGGCGTCGGGTGAATGGCTCATGTCTGGTCTCAACACTGAACCCCCTGCCCCAAAGGTGACCCAGGTGGTGAGAAAGGAGCACGGCCAGAGAAAGGATGCCAGGGGAATTAGGCATGGGCTCCAAGACAATCCCCAAAGGGGAGGCTGGGAAAGTCCTCGTCCTTGTCAAAACTAAGACATAAATACTCATTCCACAGGCGTGCCTACTGCATGCCCAACTTCACGCTAGACACCGGGTCAAACGCCCAACAAAACCAACAGGACTCCTCTGTCCTAGAGCTTACAGTGTGCGGGGCTGTTGAGACAGCTGTCAGTCAAACGGACACGCTCGTGAATGCCTCCCTGCAAACTCAGCTAGGGACGCCGCAGGAAAGGAATCCTGGCCTAGGAGAGCTTTTGCTGGTAGTGGCGGTGGCGGGGTTTTCGGTAATCTATTTATTTTTGAGAGAGATAGGGGAGGGGCAGAGAGAGAGGCAGAGAATTCCAAGCAGGCTCCACGCTATCCACGCAGAGCCTGACGCGGGACTCGAACCCATGAACTGCGAGATCACGACCTGAGCCGAAATCAAGTTTCGGAGGATTAACCAGGGGGGAGTCCAGAGGCTCCTAGCAGAGATTTTCGTAACAACACAGGAGCTAGTCTGAGGGTCAGGGGAGATTTTGCCAGAAGTAACCACTGAGTTAACATCTAAGGGGACAATTAACCTGGGAGACTCGGGTAGAGCAGAAAGGAGTCCAGGAAAAAGTGAGAGTGTGTGTCAGGGCCCTGGAGAGAAAGTAGTAGGTTTGAGGAAATGGGAGAAGGTGGCCAAAGTGCCTGGGAAGCAGAGGGCAAGGGGCAT